ATATAATTGTTTCTGCAACTCTATTTGATAATGTTTTGAACTTTTAAAATATTGCAAGGTAAATAAACAAGAGCTGCACTTCATTTTAGTGACAAACTTTGATGTTTTTTGATGGGTTACTTTCATTTTTGTCTTCTACATTTAATTAAAAACACATTTCCATTCTCTGCAGGTTTCTAAGGTTCTTCTACATATTAAAAAAAGTTGTTAAACATCTGAGTGGCGCACTACCGCTACTAGTGGTGAGAAAGTGTATTGCACCTTATTCAAAATCAATGCGGTCCCGCGGCCCTCTGCGGCCCAAAGTTAAAAACTGTTGTTCATTTGAGGCCCTCAAGGTGGCGTTCGCAGCCTACAATTGGGCCGTGGCCCATAGGTTAAGAATCTCTGGCCTAGAGTAAGAGCTCTGTCTTTTTCTTCAAACTTTGTGCTATGAGACTATCACTGCTCATGAGGTCTATAATATTTTGCCTACTTAAAATAAAATAATTTCAAAAATCACTAAACCACCCTTTTAACACAATGAGCCTAGAAATGAAATCCTTCAACTAAAGAATTTATGGTCAAAGAAAAACCTTTGCTGCATCATTGTCTGTGGTGTACTCACCTGTTTTTATCACTGAGGCGTGAGATCTCTTGAGTTTGGAGGAGAATATGTTTCTCCAGACGGTTGGTAAAAAGTGAGTACTCAAGAAGCTGGATCTCCAGGCGACTTGTCTGGTTTAATACCTATATATTGACAAAAAAATAAATAAATAAAAAATAACATAAATAAGTCTATCACAGTATGCACAGACAGATTGATGAATGAGAAGGATGTTCAATGAATAAATCCTTAAAAAAGGACCCTTGAGGCTAAATAGCTCTGTTTGACGCATCACAAATCCCATAATTTACCTTCTTTGATCTTGTAATCAACACCTAAGCAAGGCTGATCTCGTATGCACTTCTGGCATGTTTTTTTGAAGCTGAAGATGAAACAAATACTGGAACAAAGCAGCAGCTTGGATATTTGTACAGATTGCAGTTTCATATTGACTTTGATAAGAGAAAAGAAAGCACCAGGACCAAAACAGCCCAATCTGTAATAACAAATCTGTGGCATGATTGAAGACACATCTGGGTTGTGGTGTTGAGTTTTATGTTTTAATTGGCTTGTTGTCAGTCACTATACTTGGCTTACTGTGTCAGTCAATGCCTGTAAAACCAAAATACCAGCTGCTTTGAAGCTGCTAGCACCACTTTGGGCTTGGATCCATAGCAGGTTACATCCGATTTCAGTTTAATTAGCTACTCACCAAAGTAGTTTGTAAATAAGTTTAAAAAATCACTTGTTTTACTTTAGTGTGATAGACAATCATTCGTTTAGCTTGGCTGCAAACAAGTTATCCCTGGTTCCCCCAGGTTGTTCCTTTCTAACAGACTCACCTGGGTCTCAACATCTGTCAGCTTGCGAGTCTGCTCTGCTGATTGGCTAAGGAGGTTCGTTCCCATCTCCAGCATGGCAGCTGTCTGCGTGTGCACGGAAGATCTCTTAATTTCCTCCATGCCAGAGCGAACGTTCTCCTGGATGAAGTTCTCCAGCTTGAAGGATGACAAACAACCATTAAGAATTTTGTTTGGGATATGTTAGTAAAAAAATTGTATTTCTGTTTACAACAGCTTGTTGTGTTTCCAAAGGGGAAAGGTGCTTTGTTTTAGCCTCTGAATGACTATCGCAATAGATTCAAGGATTTCTCAAACAATCATGAATGAGTCAAAGCAACTCTCTAATGATATGTTTGATGAGGTAGGTGATGACACTATAACATGATATGAAGCTAAAACAAGTTTATTTTGCACAATACCCCCCCTTTAAAGTGAATCTAACGTTTGTCTACTAGCTATTTAGAAGGCCTGCTAACCAGATGTCCAAATTGCCTCAGCTGAACTGACTCATCTTACTGAACATTTAGTGTACTTTTGTGTACATGACAAGACAATATTCATGGTAAAGCAATAGCCTAACAGTGATGTTTTATTGTGTGCCACTATCAAAATAGATTGAAAAATGTAGTATAAAACTCTTAAATTCCCTTTAATATAGTCACTATGTTGACTATCATGAAAAACAGTAGTAATAAACAGAGCAAACATTCTCGTTTAACATGTTAGAATCCCTTTGGTATATATATATA